TGACGTACCGCTGGGGGGATGACGTTAGGGGCGGTGCGTGACTGCATTAGTAGCCTCGGGCAGCGAGGTGGAGGCTCAGGGTATCCTCACCGCCTCCATCGCCTCAGGGCAAGCAGACCCCATCCCTGCCGTCACCCCTCAGAGCATCCCAGGCCCCATCTTCCATCACCGTCCCTCCCCTCCACGCCACCGGGTTTTCCAGCAAGACACCGCCACAAATGGCGTTCCCCATCCCGTGCCACAGCATGAGCCTCCTCTCCTTCTCCCCACCGACAGGCACGGGTGGTTGCATCGGACCGAGCAAACCACAGAGGCACTGCCCACAGCCCGCTGGAGAAATGGCGTGGGGACACGGTGCGGAGATTAGGAGGGGGTTTCTGCATCCTTTTCATTCAGTGACAGAGGCCCTGCCGCACAGCGTTCCCCCATGCAGGCAGCTCAGCCAGGATGGGGTAACGGCATCGGCGTGAGGTGGCAGTGCCACTGCAGAACCGGGACTGATACCTGTGAATATTGAAATATTAAGATCAATTCAAGCAATTAGAGCCACTGCTCAATAGACATAACCAAACAAAAGGGAAACCATTACAAATTAGAAAATAGTTAGAATAGTTGTAAGATAAGAAGCTCTGGAATAATCTCATTTTAAAACAGCTCGGCCTTGGAAGAACAGATGCACGAAGATAAGAAAGTTACAAGATGATCACAAAACCAACCTTGAAGGATAAGGTATACGTGATACCAGGACTGAGTCTGCCTAGAAGTAAAGGTCAAGAAGAGTATGAGCCTTCATGTGAAGACCCCCGACAACCACCCGGAGGTGCCAACAAACATGCGTGAAGGACGTTAGCATATACTAACAAGTTCCCGGAAAATCCATGAATGTGATAAGCATTACTTGGAAATATAATGAATATGTATATAAACATAGTATAAATACTTGTTAGTTTTGTCTTTTGGCTGCACATGTTAGGTGGAGTTATCCCCTATGCACTCAGCGCTGCAATGAAGACTGCCTGCTTTCTAAAACTTCAAAATAAGTCTTAGAGAGTGAATTATTTTGCCACTTTCCGGTAACAGGACACTGTTGCCGACTAGGGTCTGCTGGATGGGAAACTCCTCCTTTGTGCTTGGGCTTCCACTCCTGCAAAGCAGGAACAGTGGCTGATCTCCTGTGTGACTTCTGACATACGCAGGTGACAGCCAGTATAAACCAGACTGAGAAAGTTATTTATTAATAGATTGTATTAATTAGGGCAATGCTAGGACTTAAAGTGCAAACACTCTTGCCACAAAAGTGGGAGATTTTCCTTTTTAAAATACTTTTTTGTGAGTGCTTCTGTGGCAAGGAGAGCAAACCTCATCACCCACGTATGTCCCTCTTCTGCTTACTTGATACCAGAATTGCTGCGGTGTCCTGTGTATTTCTGTAATCAAGAGCTCTACAAAAGGTCCCTCTGGTATGGGACAGCCTAAATCCCTTCAAGGGAGTGTAGATTGAGCTGGGGGAAAGGAATTACTGGTTTTTCCATCTGCTGTGGTCTTGTAAAAAGAAGACGAGGCATTTGGCCTTGTAGTGCCTAGGTGGTCAGAGTCACTCTGGAGGCTACGGTCTTGCAGCCTTTGCTGGAGTAGTGTCTTTCTTCACTAGGGTAGTCGGTCATTGCCGAGGCAATCTCTGCAATGAGGTCTTCGTCCTCGGAATGCCCTTGCACACGCAGCTCCTCCCGGACACACTCTCTCACATGTTTGTATTCGAGAGGAAGGAAAGGGATGAAGTAGTCGATCAGGTTCTTCTGGATCAGTTGACTGTGAAAGAAACCACCTGGAAGAGAGAATGGGGAGCTGCGGAGGCCAGGGTGTTGCCTCACAGTTCATGGATCATTTTGCAGAAGGCATCAGCAGTTCTGGGACTGAGCCCTGAGCCCAGGGGTACTCACTGTTTCTGTTCCTGAAAATTTCCTCTGAGAGCAGAGACTGAAGGTTCTTCACAGGGATGTCTTCTCTTCAGCCTTCTCCAGTAATCAAGAGCGATCTCTGTTATCTTATCTCCGCCTGCATTGCTGTTAGGAAAGAGATTCACTGGCTCATTAGAGCTATATCTTTGCCATCTTTATTGCTCCGGTCTTGGCAGTGGTTTCAGTCACTCTGTGTGAATCTGCACTGGAGTGGAGGTGTCACATCCCTACGTTTGTGTTGCCCAGAGACGGGAAGTGACAAGGACCGCACCATCTCCCAAATGATGGCAGTGTCTGATGGGATGAGCACTTCTCTGGCACAGTGGCTTGAACTGCTGCGTTTGTCATTGCAGCAGAGCAGGAGGATTGGCCGTACTGCCAGGTGTTACTGAGAGGGTCTCTGACAAGCTGCTACTCACTGTAGTAATTGCTGCCTCAAGCTGAAATAGGGAGTTGGCCATGTGTTTGAACGTAAAGGCAAGCTGAGAGGTATGCCAGCCCAAAGCTTGGGGTTCGGGCTTGCTTCAGTCTTGTGATGTGAACAGAGCTGGAGTGACCCTCAGCAAAGGGATTTCCCAGGAATAATACAGGGAGGAATTGTGCTCCCCTGATCTGTTTATGCAAATGGCCTTCAGTAGGTGAGTTCTCCCCTCTTTGCAACTAAAAAGCTCCCTATGGGGGTCCCATTTATCTTACAGAGAACTTTCTGCCTAAGGGTTGTGTTCTAGAGCTGGAGAAAACCTATTTACTGACCACTGTGGAAGTGGCATCTCCAGTCCTTTTGAAGCCACCATGGTTGCTTGGTTTGCCAGTCACTTGGGGACCGGGAGCCCTTTCCCCCCGGGGACAGCTCACTTCCCTTTATGGTTTTGAGTAGCTCAGATCTTCTGGCTGACACGACGGCTGGGCATGTTCACTGACAACATGCTGTAAAGACAGACAGCAAGGGACCTTGAGCTGCTCAGCCACGCTGCAGTCACCTACAAACCTATTGGCATCTGTTACTCCCTTTGTCCCTGCAGATTTTGTGGGACTGAAATTTCCTTTTTGCCTTTGGTTTTCCTTACTTCAGAAAGAGGAAGATCGCCTTGCCATAATAAACACCGTCGATCTCTTCACGGTAGCCAAGGAATGGCATTATAGAGTCTATCAGGCCATGTGGCATCTGATCCATTTCAGAGAAGATAAAAAGGGACCTTGGACAGGCACTGACATTGCCCCGAATCCAATTCTGTAGCCGCTCCTGTGAGAACAGGCAAAATTACCTGGGATTTGCACTCATAATTGCAGATAAATTGAAGAAGGTGAGATAAAGCTGGAAGTACCTTATAGAGATGGATGTGTGAAAGGTGCGGGAAATGCAGTACTGCGCTGAAGTGGTGCACAAACCTCCTCCTTGGTATATTAAGCTGATAGAGGTTCTCTGCAATGATACTACTGACAAACAATTTGCCTGTTCCAGTCCAGCCATGGAAGGACATCACCAGGGGCTTCCGGGGCCGGTTGGAGTGGATATTTGCTCTGAGAGCTCTCAGAACTATCTGGATAGCAAGATGCTGGCCAAAGACTTTCCACTCCAAATCCACCTTTATCACTGAAGGAATGAGGGGAGAGAAGAGTCAGAAAATGCCATATTATTCCTCCTCTTTTTTTTTTTTTTTGGTTGCAGCTGAACCATCAGGGAGGACAAATGTTCATTGCCCTCCATCCATGACAAGACTGTGAATCAGCAGAGAATCCAGCTGAGGAGCAGACTCATGAATCAGACTCTCGGTGACATTTATGGGAATCAAGCAGTTTGTTCAAGATAGGCAGGAGTCCCAGCAGTATTGTGGCTACTGCCTCCTATAAAGTCCTGGGACAGGACCTGATGTGTTTGCAGAGACTTGTTCACCGCACGTGCTAAATTCTCGTTAACTGTTTTTGTGGCGTCTAGCATACCTTGCATTTATAGAAGAATGCGCTTCTCTTGCTATATCAACACAACTGGTGTTTCAGTAGGTAAAATACTAGAAAACAACCTGTTTGTAAGCAGCCAAATCCAGAGCTGGTAGGAAGTGACATATTGAAGTACCTGGAGGCACACAGCTCTCCGATAGTTGAGGATTTGTCTTGAAATCTGCATCCCAGCACTGAAATTAAGCAATATTTGTAGTCTCATGACAAAGAGAAGGGGGATTTCCAGGTGGCAGGATCAGGAGTTTATGGTTAAAAGGTCATATAAGCTCTTTTTCAAGTTGTTGTGGTTTAACCCCAGCTGGTAATTAAGTACCACGCAGCTGCTCACTCACTCGTCCTCTCCACAGTGGGATGGGAAGAGAATGGAAAAAACTTTGGGTTGAGATAAAGACAGTTTAATAGGATAACAAAGGACAGTAATAATAATAATAGAATACACAAACCAAGTGATGCACAGCACAATTGCTCACCAACCGAAGATGATACTCGCTTAGTTCCTGAGCCAAACTGCATCCTGGCCCACCCCCCAGTTATATACGGAGCATGATGTCATATGGTATGGAATATCCCTTTGGCCAGTTTGGGGCAGTTGTCCTGGCCGTGTCCCCTCCCAGCTTCTTGGACACCCCCGCCTTCTCGTTGGCAGGGCAGTATGAGAAGCTGAAAAGTCCTTGACTGCTTGGCAACAACTAAAATATTGGTGTGTTATCAACATCATTCTCATCCTAAATCCAAAACACAGCATTATACCAGCTGCTAGGAAGAAAATGAACTCTATCCCAGCCAAAACCAGCTCACAGACCATGCACTAGTTCCCTGCAGGCAGAGTGAAGCAACCCTTTCTTCTCCAGTCACCAAGGACTGCCAGCCTACTTGTCTCAGGGACATGAAGCAGCATGTTTGGAATCTAGACCTACCAGTAATTGCTACTCATTTGACACAAAGGACAAGCGACCACAAGTTGGGGTATGGGATACCACCGGGGTGTCCGTCTCAAGAAGACATGGGATTATTTCGTTAACTCTTAGCCTTGAATTCACATCAGAAGTTTTTCTCCTTCTGCCAATATAAACCAAGACACGAGCAAGGAAAACGCTCCAGTACTGCCATGAGAAGCAGGCTACATGACCGCTTGTGGGATAAGCAGTATTAGGTTAGTACAGCCTTTGCCTTCTAAAGCCACTGTGGGCAGTAACTTATCTTTCCACAACCACCCCAAAGGAGGCTGGCATTAAAAAGGAAGCCCTCACCACCCAGGGAAGGACCATCAGCTGGTCTCACTGACAGCTTGGCTCAGGGTGCCCTTGCCACTGCCTCACCTGATAAGTTCAGCGTGTTCTTCATATTGCAGCACTCCAGGAGACTGCACTTGAGCCAGGAGTGAGGGGAGAGGAGCTGCCAAGCCACAGCAGCACCGCCCATCAGGATTGAAGTGCTGAGAGGGTCCAAAGCTGGCACCAAAGTGGGCACAAGAATAAAGAATACAGCAGCATTCAGAAGCTTCATGGTGGGAACTGAAAGCCAGCCTGGCTCAGCCGGAAAGAAAAGCAAAACAGAAATTGGAGAATAACTTCCTGGAGGTTGGGGCCTGAGGCTGCCCAAGAGGACAGAAGCCAAGATTCCTGTAAGCTAGAGGTGTCAGTGGGTTCACAGGCTTATCACACTGCTCCCGAAGAACAGAAAGTGTTGTGTGCAGGGTGTCACGGAATGGGTAGAGTGAGAGTTTCACCAGAACAATCCCAGCTCTGAGGGAAGCAGGACTGGAACCTCACTGCATCTTAACCAAGGTGATAATTGGTCTGGTGATTAACCAAGAACATAGCGATGCTTGTCTTGGGCTTAGGTCAGAGTGGGTTGTGCACCTAGAATCACAGAGCCCATAGATTTCTGTAGCAGTGGCTGGAGCTCTGCACCTCACAGGACTGAACGCATCAGAAAGCTGCTTTATTAACACCAAGTTCTCAGAGCAGATATTTTGTCCTGACAACTTCGTGATCCCCCCCACTGCCAAAGAAGTGTGTTTGCAAAGGGGAAGGACAGACACTGAAACAGCTCTCATTTTCTCAGCAAATGCTTTTTTTTTTTTTTTAATGAAAGAAATATGAAAAGCACTTTTAAGTAATTCTCATTTCATTTTTAAAATCTCATTGAAAAAAACCAACCACTGAGTGGCATTATTTAGCACTTGAAATACACGCTCAAGATTTGACATCTCTCTTGAAATGAGTGCCCTGCGCTACCGAGCACGGAGCACGCAGGATGCTTAGACTCGGCTCATTATTCCAAGTTATCTCACCCAGATGACTCACCTACAGAGGGGTGTCCTCAAAGCCCCGGGGTTTGGGCTGCAAGGAGCTAACGCCTGAGGAGTGGGGCTTGCTGGGCTTTCCAGCTGCAATCCCTCCATTGGGAGACCCGGAGGCTGCGTAGAGGCCAGAGGAAGGAATTGGCAGTGGCATATGCAGGTTTCCGTGTTGCCTGGACTCTGTCGGAGCTCTCTTGGAGGTAAATCAAATGCCAGTTTTATAAAGATGGTTTAATACTGCTGAAAAAAATGCTGGGAATTTTCCAGTAAACTCCCGTTTCCTTGATGCACCAGCCCTCTGCATTTGTCTGTGCTGAACGCTAGATGGGGTGTCAGACAAAGGTTTTACAGGATTTACAGCGTTAAAAAAAAAAACTTGCAGAAAACTTGAGTCGTCCCTAAGAAAAACAGAAGAGAGAGGAGTACACATCTGCAGAGCTGACCACCTGTATTACAAAATGTGATTTCCTGGGATACAACACAGCCTGGCCCTCATGGCTAGTGAGGGTTCACTGAGAGCAAGAGCCTCATAGGCAATTTCAGCAGGGGACTGAGAACAACCAAAGTCATCCTACAGAGGAAAATGGGGAGTTTGAATAAAGAAACAAGGCTGTTTAGCTGAGATCTGCAGATTCTCTTGTCTGTACATCTGAATTAAAGGTACAAGCAGGTTGCATTGCTCACCTCACAGGCTTCAGCAGATATTTCAGTGTTCCTCTGTAGAAACAAAGTGTAGTCCCATGAACACTGGAACAGATTGTCACCCCTAAATCTCTCTGTGATAAAGTGTGGCACCAAGTTGTTTCTTGAAAAAGGTGAATTGGCTTCACAGTTTATGGTCCACCTTTTCAAACCCGGATGGCGTGGAGCCTCTTCTGGCTGATGTGTGAAGGGGGCGTGAGATCTCCCTAGTAAATTTTTCACTGTGGTCTTGTGTCCTTTCACAAAGTCTCACCATTCTGGAAGGGACTGCATCTCTCAAAACACAGATAGGAAATGCAAAGTGATATGCTAGAAACAACACAGAGAAGGAGAATTACCTCAGCTATACAAAAAGAGTGGGGTAGCATGGGACACATCTATAGATCTTCTCTTATTCCATATGGGAGGGAGGTGGCATATATTTCCTATACAACAATAGGATGTATGCTGCATAACAGGTACCAGATGGATGTTTAAATAATCTTCAGCTGCAACATGTCATGCTGTTATCTCATTATCCCTTACAAGTTAAATGGGTTCAAGCTGGGCCTGGACATGGATGAGATGTCTAATAGTGGTGGTGGGGCTGACATTGATGGCAATTTCCTTGAACAGCTGTCTGGAAGCTCCAAGTGGAGCGCAGACCCTGCAATGCACAGTCCATGGTGCAGTGTCTTCTTGCCTGTTGTGTTGTGCCGATGAACATGTTGCTCTTCCATCTCGCTGCCCTCCTGTGCCCTGGGCACAGAATTGGCATCCTGTCAGGTATTCACGCAGCTCCCTCTGACCAGCATAGGTGGTAGTGGTGGTCAGTCAGCAGTGGGTCATCTTGAATCGGCTGCCACAAGCTGAAAGTACTGAAAATTTGTTGCTGAGAAAAACTTTCAAAAAGCATTGGTTTGGAGTATCCGTGTTCCATGTTGATCTGTGGTGGGAAGGTGAGGGTGTGGAAGAGGTAAGGACATGGGGGGGTTACAGGAAAAGGGAAGGTAGGGATTTGGGGAGCAGTGGTATGAGCTGGAGGATATGGGGTGTTTGCAGTGAGTAATTCAGAGTGCTAAAGCTATTGTGATGGGGGAGGTAGTGGAGGTGGAGTGGGTGTATTGCAAAGGGAGAGATAAGGGACGCAGAGATAGAGTAGATAAGGCCAAGGATGAGGAGAGAGGAAAGTCCCAGATGAGAGCTTTGCTTGGCCTTACTCTGCTTTCAGTGTGTTGAAATTTTCTGTCACCCATCCGTGGTTTGATTTGTACATTGTTGGTATAAGTCAGCATTTTCAGGACTTGAGGCTTGCAGTTCCATGTCAGAGAGCCTAGACAATGTGGGATATGGCTGGTGAGTGCAGCTTTCTGATCACGAGGCAGCATACCTCGCAGTTGCCTGGAGAGCGAAGAAACACAATGTCTCCAACCAGAGCACAGGGTGCTAGGAATCGGTGTTGGAGCCCTGCCTTGAGTTCATGGAGTGCAAGAAGTTTCCAGGTAAGAATTGTAAGGTCAATGAATCGATGCTTTTCCCAGAAAAGGTCTGTGTTTTTGTTGGAGAACATATAAGGTCTTCAATATTTCCAAGAGCTTTATGAAAGAGGTTTGGTAATATGACTGCTGTTTTACACGAGATGCTGGGCTGGCAGGAGGTTCTTGCTGAAGGTTTCTAATTGGAGAAGAAGAAGTAGGAGACTCATTTTTCCCTACGTTCACTTTAATTTCTACCTAAACATATCTCTGTCCACAACGCGTGTCTCCCTGCCTTCTGACTCTGGCTAGATGCTCTCTAATGCTTGGAGTTTTTCTAAGACAAGTTTGATTTATTTTTGCCTTTTTTTTTTTTTTCCCTGTATGTGTGGTTTGGGTTTGTTTTCTTTCCCTGTTTCAATTTCATCATCATCTTCCAAGTGCTCCTTATCCTAAACATAGAGATGAGGCAGTGACAGGAAAGGGCTGCCACTCTGACGTACATTGGGATCTTTAAGGGTGGGATTGTGGTGGGCTTTATCCAAATACAGAGCCTGGCTAAGCTCTGAGGACTACACTAACACAGTGAGAAGGCTCTGAATCACTCGAATGTGTTCGTTGACCTTTCTATAATGTGACAGTAGCAATAACACACGGCACCAAAATCTGCATTAATGTTGAGCAAACATTGTCTAATCCTAGCAACACCCAGGGAGGCAAAAGACTCATCCTTCTCTTGCAGGTAGGAAAATTGAGGTTTGCAGATGATGAAAGTTCTTCTTAATGTAGTAGTTCATACCAAAGCAATTCTGTCTTTGAAATCTTTACTCAAGAGCTTGAGCCATGATTTGCCTTGGGCGGACTTAAAAAAATCCTTGTCTAGGGTCCAAAATCAGAGTCTCTTGGATCAGTGTGCGCTGCTGTGCTATGTGAAGAGGTACAGTGCAACAAGGAAAGGTTTGGATGAGCTTGGGATTTTGGGTGGAAAGTGGAACATCATACACATGTCCAAATAAATCTGCCCATCTGAAATAATTCCTTTACAAGAGAAAAGGATTTCCCATCTGGATGCCCAACCTTAAAGCCCTTTTGCCTGAGCCTGTGTTGCAGTCAGAGACCAGGGTCTCACTGTGCTATACAAGCAGAATAAATAACCAGCCCTAAGGACCTTGCAGCGTTTGGATGGTCCAGACCAGAGCTTTACGTGGTCTACACTGGTACAGCCCCTACCCAGAGCAATGTACAGCAGCTGAGGAGCAAGCAAGGTTTATTAGTGCTGCTGATGCCCTTTGGTGAATGCTGACAGTGTCTGCAAAGGGAGGCAAATGTGATTCTTAATCTGATCTCAAGTGGTTTTCAGTAAGTGGAGGTCGTGTTACCTGGTAGGGAGAGGAGTTGTTTAAAGCCATGCCTGATCTACAGAATCAGTGTGGGTGAGGGAAGTGGCCATCTCACATTTCTTGTCTCCTGTGGGAACTTCCTTGAAAGGTAATGTTTTATCTATAAAAGTGCAAGGTGACAAGCTGGCAGGGCACTTCTTTGCTCTTTATATGGTGAGACCTAGTGCTGAAACCTGTTTGATCTTTCAGTCATACCCACTCCATTGAGCAATGATGGCTGGAGAAGGTCTTTTCCCAGAACAAGCACAGAGAGCTATTTGCCCGGCAGCCAAACTGGCTTTGCTCCTCCGCAGGCTGCTGTGTGCTCCAGAGGGAGAAGGGGTGGAGGGAGGCAGCCCCTTGGCTTTGGAAAAAAATGAGAGGTTTCTGTTCATCTGCACAGGACTGCCATAGGGACAGGCTTTGAGGAGAACAGCTTTTTATTCTGTAGCTGGATGATCTTAACGGGTGTCCGTTTCTAAAATGGACTTTCACGGCATAGACACGCTCCAAGCTCGCATAGGTTTTGGTGCCAGGAGTGAAGAGGTTAAGGTGTAGCTTGGAGAAAATTGCTGTTAAGAGCTTAAATACCAGTGCTGCCAGGACACTGGGGCTCAGGTGGGTGTTTTATGTGCTGGCTTGGGTGTCTCCTGTTGCAGGGCAAGA